GTTATCAGCTACATGAGTTTTAAAATATCGACATATCGGATATCGGCCAAAATCCCAATATCGTGCATCCCTAGTTAATATGACATTTTCAGCCCAACCAATGTTACACACCCTATTAGAGACCTGAAGGACCATCACCAAATACCCTATAGCCTCATCATGCTATATATCAACCAATTCCTGTCCATCACCAAGCAGGTAATCCCAAACAAAATCAGCTTTTTGGTCCAGTTTAGGTTTTGGTCAGCAGGTGACATGCAGAAGTGAGCAGAAGGATGCATAACAAACTGCAATATATATTCATGGATTCAGAGGCTCCAGGCAGGATGGTTTTAATTGGGACTCCTGAGAAAGAGCAGAATTTTTTTTGGGGGGGGCAAAACTAGGCTCAGCCTCTTGTGCTTTGACAGGTCAGGTGGCAAGTTTTTTAGAAATGAATCACTAACAGGAAACAATTCCAGCTTCAACGGATCTGGGACTTGTTTTTTTTTTCTTTTCTTGTGTGTTCCTTTAGACGTGTCTCCTTCGCATGTTCTGTGCTGTAAATGAGGCGGCTTGTTGCAAGGAGGGGGAGTTTTGGGGGGGGGAGGAGGGAAAGTACGGAAGAGGATTAGGGCCAGTGGAAAAAAAAAAAAAGTTAACTGATTTTTAAATTTTATTTCAGTTTAACATGGGGAAAAAAGTCAGAATTCTGACTTTTTTCCCCATACTATACTGAAATAAAATAAAAAAAATCAGTTAACTTTTTTTTTCAGTGGCCCTAATCCTCTTCCGTAGGAAAGAGATGCTTCCTTCCTCTTGTTTGTAAAGGTCCCCATAAAATGTGGCTGATTGTTTGTCAGAAGCAGCAAAACATTTTGTTCGGACGATCAAACCCAAGCCATTAAAAATCAAATAAATCAGGATGCATCTTTTATTTTATTCTATTTATCTACTATTATACGATGCAAAGATGAAATGTAATCGGAAAGTACATTTTTTCAGTCCCTCAATTTAAGAACAATCTTGAACAATCTTAAATTTTGCTAAGATTCTACAGAAATTATCATACAAAAAAACGATGACAAGGTTCTCCTACAGGTAAAACACACCAACATAGTTAGAGATTAAAGGTTTAGTTGGTCCCATTTTATTAAGAGTCCACCATGAAGGTGATGGAGCAGTCCACAGTCTCGGGGCTGCAGCCTTCTGCAAATGCAAACAGGAAGTACATCACCTTCCTCACCTTTGCCAACTCTGCTATCCTCTCACCTAATTCAGCCGCGTCAGCCTCATAGCACTGAGCAGGAACGTCTGAGGCTTCCTCAGCTGCCCTCCAGAACACCCCGACAGGCTCCAGGAGCTGGCGAGTCATCAGGTTGGTGAGATCCGGCGTCCAGAGCTGCGAGGTTGCTGTGATGGTGAGGCGCGCCGGCTGCGCCAGCCTCACCGTCCAGTGCGAGAAGCGGAGGGACTGTTTGGAGAAGTCCAGGCGATAAACCGCTTCGTTAGATTGCAGCAGGCGCTCACCCTCCTGCCTCTTCTGGCTGCGCTGCTGCAGGGACTGAACCCGCAGACGCATCACTTCCGTCAGCTGAGTGTCCAGCCGGAAAGCCAGCTCCGTCTTTGCAGACATGCTTTCACAGCAATAGAGGGTCGATAGTAACTGCAGGCCGGATTAAATCGACTCCTGTGTCGGATCTTAGCCTCTTTTTCTCTGCGTCCACTAACTCTTAATCTCTGTCTGTTTCTGCTGACTGCTTTGTATGACTTCATGCCTAAGCGGCATTAAAGAACAGAGGGTGGGTCTTACATAGGCAGAGATGAGCCAGGAGAAAACAAGGTCTAATTACATTTAGAGGCAGAGCTCAGCGTCGGCCTTCAGGGAGCTCTACTTAGAACTGTTTGTAACACATTTGTTTTGGACTGTTTGCTTGGTTACTGACTCTACACTGCAAAACATCTAGAACATAAAGTCCCATCAAGAAGAGAGACCTACCGTTTACAGATTTATTATATGAATGATAAGTTCCCGTCTTTTAATGTTGGACTAGAGAAAAAGAGAGAGGAAAACATCTTTAGATTAGTCCCCTCGTTGCAGAGCTTTATAAACACTGTGTTCTTCTGTTCAGTCAATTCATTTCAGTTTAATCACAACACGTCCTCTCAAAGCACTTTACAGTTCACCAGATTATACAGTCAAATTGATTCCAAGTTTTCTATCTAAGGAAAACGAGCTGATTGCATCGACTCGTTGAGGCGAAGGCAATCCCTCACACTAAGCATGCTTGTAGGGACAGTAGAGAGGAAAAACTTCCATCTGCTGAGGCCGACTGGGGTTTAAGGGGACAGAA